AAATAACATAAAATAAACAGCCACCACAAGGGAAAAAAAAATCTATAGAAATAACAAAAAATAGAGATGATTGGATGCCACTTATCATTTTCCTTAAATAAAAAATGTCTGGATTCACTTGTATAAAAACATTCCAAGTCCCCTATTTTTAGAAATTTAAATAAATAAAATCATTAATTTGTTATAGATATAGACAAATTAATATACATTTGTATATTATTTCACTATAGTTTCGACATTTAAATTAGTGGATAAGAAAAAAAAATATATTTTTTTTATGAATTTAAGTAAAATACAGCGTGAACTGAGATTTAAGCATGTGGAGCAATATCTTTATTTAGAAATCAAATTGATGTAGGCTAAAATCAGTTAAAAGTCACGCATACACTAGCATGGCTCTTTTGATTGCATGGAAGAAAATATAGTGATTTTAAATGAATAGTAGTAATGAGTAAGTTTGAGGGAAGTTATGTTCTTTCTAACTAATCTTCCACGAAAATTCAAATTTGAAATTGCAGATGGAATTTTAAAATCCTTTTGTTCTATCTATGTCAACTTTTACTTTCTCTTGGTATTTTTTTCTTTTAAAAAATGATATTTCTTGCTCGGCTATAGATAGGGTCAAAGGAACGTTGAATGTATAAATCAAAACAAATAGTTGGTAAAGTGATAAATGAATTTGTTTTCGAGCTAATTTTATGTCCAAATACGAGATTCGAATTTACGGAGTCATATTTGTTGAAAAAAGTTAAAATTTTATCACATTCGCTCCAAATAATTAGTCCTATTTTTTAATGTGAGATGGAAATACTTGAGGGAAAAAAAAAGACATCGTCAATTTCCTTGGTGGGTTGATGTTCTATAGAAATATGAGAAATTATAATTTGAATGTTCAAATTTTAATTAACTTTTTGGATAAATATATCCATATGTCCTTATATAATACTTAAAGTCTCTCATTTGTCCCTAGATTTCTAGTTGCATCCTATTTGTCCTTAAATTTTTTGAAATATTCAATCTATCTTTCCGATTAAATTTTCCGACAATAATTTTTTTTGACCAAAATTCCTTTTACTAAAATACAAAAAAAAAAAAAATCATTTAAAGTCGCACGACCTACAAGTTCCATTTTTGAAGCCTTTAGAATTTTATTTTTTTTGTATTTCGATCGGAGCTTTTCTCGTCAAATCTTTTTTATTTGGTCAAACAAATTGATGAAAAGAACAAATTGAATGAATGAAAAACTTAGAAACATATGAAAGATTTTGAGTATTATACAAGGACAAATGAGTATATTTATCTTTTTTTTTTTCTATTTAGGTGTCTAACCAAGTAAATCCTCCTATTCAAGTACTCAATTTTTGATATTTTCTATTTTTATTTATGTCTGTTTGAGTATCCACAATCACTTGAGATTAAAAAATATTGATGTGTCTAAAATGAACTTTTAATTACATGACAGCTTTTAACTAATAAGTAGCAAAAAGTGGATCTTATTTGGATTTTTCAGAAAAAATTTAATTTTTTTTTATTGAGAACTTTAATTTGAGTGCTTGATTTTTGTTTTTTTTTTGTTGAAGTGCCTAATATGTTCAATATGAGTGGATATTATTTTCAATCGGGAGCTTTTTGGTTAAATCTTTTTTATTTGGTCGGAAAAATTGATGAAAAGAACAAATTGAACATTTTAAACACTTTTAGAGACAAATTGAATGCAATGAAAAACTTAGGAACATATGAAAGATTTTGAGTATTATATAAGGACAAATTAGTATTTTTTTTTCTATTTAGGTGTCCAACCAGTAAATCCTTCAATTCAAGTACTCGATTTTTGATTTTTTTTTCTTATTGAGTATCCACAATCATATGAGATTGAAAAATATTGATGTGTCCGAAATGAACTTTTAATTACATGACGAGTTTTTAACTAATACGTAACAAAAAGTGGATCTTATTTGGATTTTTCAGAAAAAAATTCAATTTTTTTTATTGAAAACGTTAATTTGAGTGCTTGATTTTTGTCTTTTCTTAATTTTTTTTAAGTGCCTAACGTTTTAGTTTTTATTATTTAAGTTCTCTCAATCACATGTGATTAAAAAATACTAACGTAGTTGGAATCTATTGACACATGATAGTCTTTAACTAACATGTGGCAAAAAATGGATCCCACTCAAATTTGTTGAGAAAAAAAGATTACAATCCTTATATAAAAGAAGATAGCTAGCAATAATAAAAAAAAAAAATCAAAATCAATTATTGTTAACCAAATGAACTCGACAAGTTTATCGACCAATATCTTAGAATACCTTCAAGATATCATCATTTAAACATTTCATTTGCCTAATTCAAGAGTTTTAACCTTGGATAATCTAAACAATTAGAGCAATTAGAGTTCATTTAGCTAATATTAATTGATTTTATTTTATTTTTAATTGATGCCAATTATTGTCTTTTATAAAAGTTTTATAATTTTTTTATTTTTTCCTAATAAATCTAAGTAGGACTCATTTTTAATCACGTTTACGTTAAAGACTACCGTGTGTCAATAGATCACGGCCACATCAACATTTTCTTGTCTCAAGTGACTAAGAGAACTTAAATAGAAAAAAATAAAATAAAAAGTGGGCACTCAAATAAAAAAATATAATCAAAAGTTAGGCTCTCAAGTTATAGCTTTCTTTAAAAATAATTTCATTTTTTCTAATCTTCCAAGTGGGATCTATTTTTTACAACGTAGTAGTTCATTCCGGACAAATCAGTATTTTTCAATCTCGGATGATTGTAGACAATCAAATAGAAAAAAAAAATCAAAATTAGGCACTCAAATAAAAATAGCTACCAATTGGACACTTAAAATATAACTTGGCACTTAAATTGCAGTTTTCTCATAAAAATACGAGGTTGTCCAGTATATCTCTTCATATCGATATAATCATGTTTACCATAATTGTTTTGTTTATTTGGTTTCAAGAAATATTTGAGTTGTCAATCAAGAATTACTTTTGTTTTTGCAAGAGAAATAAAATAATTCAAATTGGACGCTCAATTATCTCTGTGCAACTATTAATAAGCCATATGAAAATTGCTATAAATTATGTATTAAAATATACTAAAATCATTTTTCTAGCGCACATTTGGCAAGAAATGCTAGTTTATTTTGGAATCAAATACACCTCTTGCTCTTGTACCATATCGAAAATATCGTTGCAACCTCTCTATCTATATATAGTTCATAACAAACTTTATACTAATAAACGTTGGTGTAAAATAGCACATTTGTTAACTTTTTTTTGTCGGATTAACTAATTTATATTAATTAACTAATTTATGTTAATTGACTAACGTGTGATCATGTTAGTTGACTAATGTGTGATCATTTATGTGGTGATATGTGTCAACTTAAGGATAAAAATATAATTTATTTTTTAAAATTAAAATAATTAATAATTATTATAAAAAAATTAAAATTTGAAAAATAGATTCTAAAGTTTTAAAATATTCAGATTTTTTTGGATACTAATGAATTTATAATATTTTTAATTATTTCAACATTAAAAAATTGAATTTTTTTTCAAATTTTAATGATTTTATAATGATTATTAATAAATAAGTTTAAAAAAACTCTAAAGAAATTTTTAATGATTTTATAATAATTAATAATAATTAATTTTTTAAAAAAATCTAAAGATAATTTTTTTCCAAAAAATTGAAAAAATTAATAATAATTTTATATTTAAATAATTAATTATTATGATAAAATTAGTTTAAAAACATAAAGAAAAGTTTTCAAAAAAATTGAAAAAATTAATAATAATTTTTTTATTAAAATAATTAATAGTCATTATAAAATCATAAAAATTATTTATGAATAATTATTTTATATCTTAAAAATTGAAAAAAATATTTATTAATAATTATTATAAAATTATTAAAAATTAAAAAATTTCTTTACGTATATATTTTTTAAAAAAAATGCTTTAATAATTATTATTATAAAATCATTAGGAAGCAAATTTTTTTTGATTATTTAAAAAAAATTAGAATTTTTTTTCCAAATTTATATAATTTTATAATAATTATTAATTATTTTACTTAAAACATTGATTTTAAAAAATAATTTTTACCTTTAAGTTGATATATGTTGCCACTTAATTGGCAAAATATTAGTTAACTTTTAGAAATTGATCAATCTAACAAAAAAAACTTAATGGATGGATTGTTTTACACCAATGTCTAATTATATGAGATTTGTTAAGAATTATACCTAATTTTTTCCTACAAAATGGATTGATTTTTTTTTTTTTAATGTGTGTGCAAAATTTCATCTCAAAATACAAAGAATTTAATTTTTTAGAAGAAAAAATGATAGATGAAAATCATGGAATGGACTAAAGCTTAAAAAATTAAAATTTTAGGGATTTTTAAAACTAATAAAAAGGTTAAGAAAATGAATTTCAAATGACTTAAAAATCAAGAATGGTTAGATGAACTTTTTTTTACACTAAGGTACTTTTGAATCTTATTTCCCATGATGAGATACTTTTAACCTTATTTCTCAAAATGGTACATTTTATGCCATGTAAGATCATATAAAAAATCCATGTCATTTCTTTCTTAAAATAATATCCACGTCATGTAAAAAATAATTAAGAAATCAGTAAAAATAATATATAATTGTTTGAATTAGCTTTATATATATATATATATATATATACATATAAGTGTTTATTGATTATAAAAAAAATAATTAAACTTAAAATGATGAAAAAGAATCAGACAAAAATGGGAGCCTTAGCTTTACAAAATTCAAATCAAAAGTTTTCTTTGAAGAAATCCAATCAAAATGTCAACGATGAAAATTGATCGCAAGCTTCCACTTCCTAAATCCCCCATCATTCTTCGTCCTCGCCGTGTCCTTTGATTAGAATCCATCACATCACATCACACAAACTCCTCTTGGTTCTTTGAGTAAATCTCTGAAAACAAGCCGAAAATGGGATATGAAAGAATCTGATTTCCGCCCTGAATACCATTCGATATCCTGCGAATTACGTGCTCTGGCGATGATGGTTCACAATGGGATTAGAAATGGGGAGTCAATTAATGGTGGGATTGGTAAAAGTTTGAGTGCAAATCCTAGTCCTTTGTCTGCAAAAGGCATTTTTTTATGAAGAGTATTCTGGTAGAAGAGATAAGAAGCTGAAGAGAAAGAAAGGAGACACAAAAGATGATGTGAAGACTCCTTATAATCTTGGAGTTATTGTTGAGTCTTTGAAAAGGAGGGATACAAAGAAGCTTGAGAGCCTGAGGAAATTCGTGTCTGTTGCTTACTATGTGGAGAGGAATGAGAATCCAAGGTACATGTTGAGGAGCATAAGTAAAGAGAACAATAAGCCTCATTTGCTTGTTTACAATTATGAGAGCATGTGCTTGCAAGTGAAAAGAAACTCACTTCTTGGATGGTTAAGAAAATTTAAATTTTAGAAATAGGTTTTTGAAGATGGTTTTATTGATTTCGAGTTTTCTTTTGGAATTTACTTTAATGTGCTTGTTTAGTAATTAGAAATAGAGTTGTAAGAATGAGAATGAAAGTTTTATTCCCACATTGTAATTGTTTGGTTAAATGAAATAAAGTGAGAATGAAAATGAAAATTTACATATAATTTTATTCCCATATAAGATGTGGGAATAAAAACAAGAAATGAAAATGAATTTTTTTTCAAAATAATAATATATTTTATTTATTTATTATTTATTAACTACTTTTACCACCATCGTAACCACTATCACAACCACTACCACCGTCATTGCAACCACCACCACAATCACCATCATCATTTTTATTATTTTTACAACCATTATAGTTTAATAAAATTATTTTTTTTAATAATTATTTTTATTTGTATAAAAAATGAGATATTAAAAAATTTAAATTGTATTTTGATTTCTCATTAGTATTCCAAACACAATATCGAAATACAAATATCATCCCATTCCTTAATTTTTATTCCAATTCCTGTATTCTCATTCTCATCACTCTTTTTTGATTACTAAACGGCACCTAAGGGAAATTGGATCTTCATTGGTTTACGAAGTGTCACTCGTTTGAAGAAAATATTTATTTGTTTCGGGTAAACAATTAACATTTTTGTTTTGTAAAAATAAATAATTAAATTAAATTAAATTAAATTAAACCTAAAATGACATCGATAATTAAGCTTACATGAAAAAAAAAACTTAATTTAGTAAATAAGATTTAAAATACCTCGTTTTTATAAATAAAATTTTAAACTACCTTAATGTGGGAAAAAACTCTTGGTTAGACCATTTTAACGCTTTTATAAATATAAAGTATAATTTTATAATAAAAAATTTATAAGTGATTAAAATTAACATTATAATTTGGAAGAATTTTTTTTTCTTGAAAGAGAGAGAAAGGGGGTGATATTGGATGGGCTTATGGGCATGGGATTGGGCCAAGATTTTGAACTCCAGGAAAAAAAAAAACATCTAATCTTAAAAAAGAACGAACGAAGACAGGCAAGACTACCTCAGTTTTGCTGTCAGGTTGGTCCCTTATCTCACGCTCGCTCTCACACATTTTGTTTTAGTTGGTGTGTGTGGTAGGTCTAAGACTCTGCCCTCCATATTTCCACTATATGTTTAGTACTACATAAACACAGACAAAGAAACCGAACTCCAAAAACAAAATCACATTCCTCCCCTCCTCCATTTCCCTCCAAAAAGAATCAAACTTTTTTGAAAAATATGAAGGGAAAGAGGAAGGCAACCGCAAATCCAGTGTTGACTGATGCTGGAGAGGGCAGTAGTAACAATTTAATCGAGGCCCAAGTGAGGGAAGGGAATATTGGTGAAGAGGAGAGAGATTGGGCTGATAATGGGGAGAATCGAGATGAAACCGAAGGAGAAGAAGATGAAGAAGAAGATGACGATGAAGAAGAAGAATATGAAGAGGACCCCAAAGCAGAAGATGAGAAAGACAATCTATTTGATGAAGAAAGGACAAAACTTGACGAGGGTTTCTTCGAAATTGAGGCTATTCGTCGAAAACGAGTTCGAAAGGTCTGATTCACATTTTTTTTTATGCCTTTTATTGGGAATTATGATACACCCATTTTTTAGAATCTTGTATTTAATTCTTTTATTGGGATTTTTTTTTCTTTTTTTGTGGGGAGAGGTTTGGAATGGAAGTGAATTGTATTTTGTTTTTTTGTTTTTTTTTTTGTTAGTTGATCATTTTTCTGATTATTTGTGTGTGTATTTGTGTTGCTAATAATGGCTGATGATGATGTCAAATGACTCCACAATTGCTGAAAAAATAGGGTCAGTTGCAGTATCTTATTAAATGGTGAGTGTCTCTCTTATATCCCATCAAGGTTTTACATTTTCTGCTTCCAATTTGGTATTTAATTGGTCCTTACCTTGTATGACATGATTATAGGACTAATATAAGGAGCAATTAATCCACTCTGTTGATTCCAGGTAATTTCTTGACTCATGTGCTTTATTTGTTTTAAAGGCGAGGATGGCCCGAAACAGCCAACACCTGGGAGCCCTTGGAGAATTTGCAGTCGTGCTCTGATGTCATTGATGCATTTGAAGAGAGGTAGATTGCCTTTCTTTTCCTTATTTTTCATAAGCTTATACGGTTGCTGAGAATATTAAGGCAAAATGTAAGTATCTTTTCAATCTTTCTGTTAGTATTTTCTCTAGGTGACAGTCATTCAAATAATCTAAGTGATAAATGGGTTGTTGGCTTCGCTAAACTTTATAATTGATTTTTCTTTGTGGCAAATAAGAAGTAGAGAGCATAAATTTACAAGCATGAATTTCAAATTACTTTATTTTGAGTATTCCTTTTCTAGAAATCAAAATGATGTTTAAAGTATATATTAACTTTTACCAATGATTGCATTTTCTTTTCTTCCACCCCTCCTTTTCTGTTGTTTGTCTGTCGGGTTTCAAGCTTACGATCAGGCAAGTCTTCACGAAAGCGGAAACGCAAGCATGGTGGTCCTCATACTCAGTCCAAGAAGAAGCAGCCACGTTCCTCTGCTGCCTCCAATGTAATGGATGTTGAAATAAGTATTGCGGATCAACATCTCCCTTCTGCTCCTCTGAATAACTCATTGCTTGCCAATCTACTTTCACCCTCTCAATTTATCAGTTCAGGTCATGGAGGAGAGAGTAATGGAGATGTGAACAACGTCAAAACATCCAAGCAAACTGATGAAAATGGGTCCATCAATGGTTCAAAGCATATTTTTGAAAGGAAAGAGGATAATGAATATGATCCAAAGCTTAGTGAGCTTAGAGGAACAATTCCTAACATAGATGTAAACTCAAATAAGCTCGCAATACATTTCCAAGAAGAAAAGACTTTAGAAGGTAATGGTCTTGCAAATGGGCTTCCCAAGTTTGATTATGTGGACCCTGTTCAAAACAGTCGATGCACAGGTGCTAAGAAAAGAAAGTCTGGTTCTGTGAAGAGATTCAAAAAAGACCCTGTCTTGTGCGAACCAGTTTTCTTACCAAATTCATCTGCAAACTTCTCAGTTGGCTCTACTCACCCAGTTGCACAACTAGGGATTGAAAATCCTAGTTTACCTTGGGACAATTCAAGTCACATGCCCATGGCTGAAAATTCCATAAATCCATTTGCTATCACTAAGATCCTCAAGCCTATCAGCTTTTCAGCTTCTGTGTTTGACAATGTCCAGGATGTGCTGATAACCTTTCGTGCATTAAGGTTTGTTGTTTTAATCCAGCTTCAAGCATCTATCTTGTCTGAAATCTAATGATATATCTTTTTCTTGTTATGCATCTGTTCATGAAACTAACATTTTGAGAGTAGCTGGAGTTTCCATCCTGTATTCTAACTATCATTCTCCAAGAAAATAGGCACCTTTCAAGATATACATTGCCAATTATCTATTATAATATTCTTTCCTGACAACATGGTATTAACGGGAGACCTTCGTGTAAAAGAGTGAAATGAATGCCTGCCCATTGGAAAATCACACAGCCTCAATATCTCAGATACGGCACAAAATTTTATGAATTTCATACTCAACTCAAGAAACAAAGTGTTGCTGTAATCCCAGGATTGTGAGAGTATTACTTATTAGCAATGGTAGTTGAAGTGTAGAGTCACTGCCTTAGCATGGAAAGGTTTGAGGGGCTAAGTGCATCTCAAAATGGGCTGGTTGACTGGTTGTAGCAAAATGTTTTATGGAGGTGCAGGGAAGTTAGTATGAAAGAGAAAAAGAAGTGAGAACAGTGAGAATCACTTATGCTTCTTTTAGATGTGCCATTCATGATGTGGTTGAATCCTCTGGAATAATATGTGTGTCACTTGCCTTGCAGGTATTTTTAAGGTATGATATCTATTGTTTCCCCTTTTGTTTTCATTTTAAAGAACCCCTGCTTTTATCTTGGCTAGTTTGCATGGCACTGATGTGAAAGGAGAGGACTAAAATAGCTCCATGAGGTACTATTACCTGTTTAACAAATTTTGAAGGACAACTTGGATTTTTGTCCCACAAAGGGTTGGGCTGGTTTAGAGAATTAGGTGTAGGGTTTTTTTGTACGGGTAATTAAGATTGATTATGTGTTTAGTAGGTCTTGGGATTGTTATTATAGTTGTGAACAGTAATCCGAGATTACCGTGGCTATAAGAAATGGAAGCAAAGAAAAGAGGAAGACAGAACACAGAAGGTAGTTGGTGGAAAGGGGTAAGTAGACTAAGCATCCTGGGGTGCAACCCTCAAGCTAAATCAAATACTCAAAATTCCATATTCAAATTCTTATGGTTACGTAGAATAAGTGCTTCTTTTATAGGAACCAAATGCTCTTCTCGTCCTAAACTAAGAAGGAAATAGAAAATCTGATAGAAAACTCCTAATTAATTTTCTAGTTCCTAAATAAGCTAAGATTTCTAAATAGTATTAATATTCCTAAGTAAGACAAATTTCTAAATAAACTAGTTTTGCAGGAAATATCAAAATATACAAATTCAAAGATCAAATATCTGAAGTTTCTAAGCTTGTCTCTCATGGACTGCATCACAAAGTCTCTGTGGATGGACTACAACAAGAGGGCTTTCGAGAAAAAAGTTGTCTTGGCCATCTGTGACCTTTATGTTGTCATTCTATGTTTTTTTGGAATGGTTAAATGGTTTTTAAAACTTTTGTGCTAGAAATTAGTGAAACAAATTATTATAGACATGATGAGTTCATGCATTAAAAGAGCAGAACAACAAAGGAATAATGACAAAATGAATAAGTGGAATTCTTATGAATTGGTTTAGTTGATGCAACCAAGGAAAAAGGAAATAGAAGCTGTTATTTTGTCTTATTCTTAACTTTGACAATTTTCCAATGATAGGCAAGTTTGATGTTCGATTGGGCATTCTTCATGTCTTGTGATTTGTCAATTTTAGTTCTACAATTTAAGATGTTTTAGGTTCGTTAACTTTGACTGTAAATTTATCTCTTGTTGTTGAGTAGACAAATTCTATTTAGTTTTACTTTTAGACTTTTGATGATAGAATTTTGAGTATTTTGGTTCATTCCTAAACTCCTACCACATACGTCCCATTCATTCCTGCAGCAATAGCATCTCAAATTCTGAAAATTCAGCCTGCTGTGCTCGAAAAAAATACCTTGGGTCACTGTTTACAGCTTTCAAACAGCCTTCTATATCAAATAACACTCCATTATCACACCCTACACATGTCATTGAGAGATATAAGTCGCTAAGCTGTCCTAACTCCAAACAGTATGGCTGCCAAAGCTTTAACCAATATACAATTCATCTATGCCTTGTCTCTAAATGATAAAATAATAGTTAAAATACAGCAATCTGTCCTTAGCTGCCCGTAAAATCATCCACACTGATTTATCAAACAAATCTAACTTCAGTAAATCTTTTTGCTCTCTTTCATAGAAATAGAGTTTGGAAGTCCGGAGTATATGAGCTCTCTTATTATGTATAGATTGTGTTTCCTGCAATGATTTAATTATGTTTGTTAAATGTTTCTGCCGGCTGCAGAGTGTCATTTTTTCAAGTGATTTCCTGCTATGCAGGTCTGATGGACAAGAAGTAACAGTGGATAACAGGTTTCTCAAGGATAGTAATCCACTTCTGGTAATTGATTATCATGTTGATGATTATGTTTAGTTTCTTCCTCGTCGGCATTGCTTCAAACTCTCAGGAATTTTTTCAAAATATCTTTTATGATTTTTCGTTGTTGTATTTACTATCTTCTCCTTTTTCTTTCATTGCAGTTAATCAACTTTTATGAGCAACATCTCAAATACAGTACATGATCGGATGGGAATTTTGGATGGAAGTTTGTAAATGGGGATCACGTCATTGTATGCTTTTGTCTGTGTACAGTGCTGTAATTCTGTAGTTGCAGGAGATAGTGCAGGATAACTAGTGTTGTCGTAGCTCAGTAATGCAAAACTTATCGATATAGCTATAGTGCATCTGTATTTCAACCTTTTGCCCACTACGATTAGGTTTTTTATTTCATCTAACTACAGTTATTATCGTTCTCTAGAGACTACAGTTATGATCTAAATATTTACATGACAATGACTAGAACTATAGAAGTTCACATAGCTTGTAATCATGCTGTCATCTCGCCCTTTCTGCATGGCTGTTTCTTCCACAACAAACTTTCTTGATTACTTTTGGATATGAATCAGTTGGATGATGTTTCTGAACATCAATCCACTCATATTAGTTTATCATTATTGATAACTTGATCTCATTGGAAGCATCGAAGATAACCTAGTGTCATTTTCAAAAGCTAACCGTAATTTTGTTTTCTTCCATGTGGGACGACTCTGATGTCCTCCACGAAGTTTAATTAATTTGTAATGGGATTAGTTGGTTTGGTTGGCCTTGAATCTAACCTCTATTGTACAAAATAAAATTGATTGGAGGTCTATTTACGCAAGGAAGTTGCCATAGGTCAACTAATCGTGCTGAACCAAAGAAAAAAATCAGATTGTCATCTCCAACTACAACGAACAATTCCTCTGTTAACCATTAAGAAGGTAGTCCTTGTATATCCACTGAAGCAGGAGAATCCGAAAGACTAAAGAGCAATGAGGAGGAGAGGGCCATCACCAATAGTTCCTTCTCTAATGGTGGGTGTCCTGGGATTGCTCATCTTTGGCCCTATGATATCGTCACTTGCGGAATATGTACTGCCACTATTTCACGTAGGCGATGAAGATGTTGCGTTCAACTTCTGGATGGTGCTTCCTCTTTTACTGTTGCTGCTCATACACTTGATTTCTTCATGCTTTCCCTCACGTGGCAACAGGTATTTTGGTACAAAACAAGGAAGTAGTAGCTCTAGCTATGATGCTGATGGATATGGGTTGGGATCATTACTTCTTCTTGTGATCTTCTTTGTTCTGTATAATGTTTGGTGATTGGATTACTTAGAAGTTATGCTCATGTTCTACTTATTATACATGTGTCTTTTTCTCTCTGTGGTCTGTACTCACAAGACTTGAAGTTCTGATTTACCCATGAATGTTACCTGAAGACAGGTTGTGTAAGCGCCCGTGCACACTCTTGATCTTTTCTGTAAGTTTTTAGGAGAACGAAGTACTGTAAAATAGGAAAAGAAGGAAATTCATCCTTGTGCCTTCTATTGGTTGTGCTTTAGTTTGTCCTGCATGTATAATGTATTGGTGTCAAGATTAGTCCAAGCTAGTTGGGCTTTGTTTCCTGTATTTCATCTCCTCTAACCGAGGGCGAAGCTTGAGCAGCAAGAAAATAGGAAGTTGTTATATATATTTACTTGCCTTTTGCAATTTGTTCATATAAGACCATAGCTTCGTTGATTTGCTCTCAATAGGAAAAATGTTGAAATGAATGTTTTGTACATACAACCAGCTTGCGAACAATTATTCTTTTCGGGTCCTAATTAAGGAGACAATGGCAGAATCCCAACAAACAGATTCTAATGAATTAATCACTTATCTGTACACCTTCCATATTACGCTTTCTACTAGTGATTCCTGTGCCCACATAGTCCTTGATACTGTTCAGGATACATATCTGAGTTAAGTCCAAGGAACAGGTCCCATTCCTGGTGAGAAGAAATCAATATGCAATGGCTAACCCCAAAACTGCAATCCATTGGATGAGTTCATTTGAAGAACCAGGTGACTTGCACAAAATGCTCCAGCAAGAATGAGAAGTGATACAATAATACTCCCCTAAGATGGTTATTATCCAAAAGAACATCAACCTGTGTTTTTTCCAGCCAAAAAGCACTTATGCAAAAGCACACTTATTAGGATGAAAATTCACAAGAATAAAAATCTCAAATGTCGCAGAATCCAAAGAACTCAATCCATCGAGAATAAATAAACTTTTATGGCCACCAGCCTTGCACGTATCAGCCAAAAAAAAAAAAAAAAAAAAAGAGGCTAAACATATGCATTAATAATTAAAAGAGTACTAGCTAGTTATGTCATCATGCAGTGGCTAATTCTACATAATACCCAAAATGAGGAAACATGCAGAAATTATCCATAGACATAAATTTGAGGCACATTTTATTTTCTAAAGCAACTTTCACATATATATATATATATATATATATATATATATATATATTAAAGGTATTCTCATATTAGTTTATGCATCATTCGAAATTAAATCTCTCATTAAGCAATCATGATCCAAAATAAAACTTTGACTGAAGTTGATGAACTAAAATAATCAAAATAGAATTGTAAGATCACTTCTAATTTTACGGTAGAAACATTATAAAGAACCTAAAATGATATGGGTTTTTAAGCCACAAATGATGGATCTAAACGACATTGTTTTGATACAGTTTAGATCAAAATGATACCGTTTTGACAAAAAAAAAATTAAAATATGAGTTCATTTTAGTCCTCATGTTTGGTTTTATTTTATTCTTTGGTCCTTGATTTGTATGGATGATCCCTATATTTTATTGTGTTAAATGACGTTTTTAAGAGTACAAATAGGAGAGAGAATCCAAAAGAGAGAAGAAAGCGATTTTTTTGTCTTTCTATAATTGTTTAAACATGTTTTGAGATTCAAACGTGGTTTTTAAATATTTTGAAATGATTATAAGGTGTTTCAAAGTAATAAAGGAGAGAAGAAATTAGATTTCAGAGACCAAAATTGACGGTCCCTGATTTTCTAATGACATTTGATTGCTGAAAATTACAAAGATGACGATGCATCAACTGCATCATTCGCCTCTTTTTCTTGTAAGTGTCTGGGCTGCCGGCATCTGGACCAGAGACCTGCCCCAACCTAGCTCCTTTTTTATGCTTTATCGTTTATTATTTGATTTTTTTCTTAATAATTAATAGGTTAGTTTGTGATTTTTTTTTTTTAAAGACTCGTTAGCTAAAATTAAATACTCTTTCAATATACTTTGATTTAACACCTTTTTAGTGTACCATCAAGGAATGTGATCTAGCAAAAAATTAGTTGTCTTAATTTGATAAATACTAAGGTTCAATTCTTACTTTGCACATATAATTAACCATAATTACTCTTTAGTAGTACCGGACTTAAGCTTTAAGAGGAAGCTTAATAATTGACGAAAGGCTAAGTCTATTTTAGCACTAACTTAGTCCAGAAAGTTATAGACTTAGTTCGATTGATGAAAAAACTAATCGGAGAATACCTCGTTACTTCTATATATATATATATATAAACCTTTTTATTGTCTGTGTTCTACCTTCTAATTATTAATTTTTCTAATATGATTTTTTTATAAAAATAAATAATTAACTACATTTTTTATTTTTATTTATTTATCAAAATAGAGTATATTCATAAGATATATTTAAACTCAAATATAAAGGACACCTAAGATATTAAATACTAAATGATACATATTAAATTATATTTTTTTCTCAGTTAATATTGATTTATTTTTACTCCGTTCACTTAGATTTTTAAAACAGTCAATTAAAATAGATTTTATAGAATTACTGATGACAGTGTGCGGATACTATACTAATGCTAAACTAAATAAGATAAATTCAAGAGCCTTGTAAAAAAACAATATGAAGTTATGAAACTCACATGGGTTGAGGAAATTGAATGGAGGAATTTTAGAATAATGTCGGAATAACTATTTATATTTATTTTATAAATATGCTTTGAAAAGGGATATAAATATGTCGGAATAACTATTTTTCTTTTCTAATCTATTTTTCTCGTATGAACTAAGTATCTATAGGTATTCTTGAATTACTCTAAAATTTCTCTATGGAAGGAGTCATGCTACTGCTGCTGCCATTTAGATATTGCTGAGAAAAATCTGGAATATAGCAGTTTAATCAATCACTACAATCCAGCTAAGAAAATCAACAGAGCATTTGTCGTGGACCAATATAGAGATCAAAGAATGGTGATCCTTGTACTTGGATTAACAGTATGAGTTAATTATAAATTAGTTCCTCTAGTTTAGTAAAACAATTAATTAGTCCCTAGAGTATGAAAAATAATTTGATAGTCCTTGTAATTTCTTATTCCATTAATTAATTAGTCCTTCTGTCAATTCTACGTTTATAAGATGTATAGTTGTCCTTAATTTAGTAGGTTTGTTCCTAATATGCCCTTTTTGTCATCAAATTTTCACCTACTTTTCCTTTTTCTTTTCAATAAGAAATAAGCAAATAAATAAAAAAAATTATAAAATAATAATTATTAGTACAAGAGTGGTATAAATCCACAACGGATTATTCTAAATCCATGACAACAATACCTAAATAATAAATAACAGTTATCATTGTTCACGCACTATCTAACCACGTTATTGTGGATTTAATTTCACTCTTACCATGATTGAAACATGAATAACTTTGTCTTTTCTTTGTTCTATTTTATCAGAAAAAAATAAAATAAATAAACAAAGAGATTTTTTTTTCGCTTTCTTTATTATGTGGTTGCTATCTCATTAAATGGTTTTTTAAATTCTTGAGAAACTAATTAATTAATTGACAAAGAAACTATAAGGACATTAAATTATTTATCAAACTTGAGAGGCTCATTAATTAATGGAGAATTGATGGAAGGAGTAAGGACTATTAAATTATTTCTCATACTTGATGGACTAATTAATTGGTCTTATTAAACTAAATGGACTAATTTATAATTAACTCTAAAAGTATTTAAAGCCATAAGTAGAAGGGTAGGCTTAGGAAAGTGTTTGGTTGAACCGTGGGGTGTTGCACCCAGGGGTCAACCGGTATTTTCCCGCCGCCGCCTGGGCTTCACGGGGCTGCTATGCACGTGCTTGTGTAACGGAATTGCTAAGGGAATTTGGCGGGACAGATTGGAGGGAAATTTTGAGGGGTATTTATTGATTGCTGTAGGGACCGACTGACAGATAACATTAAATTGTGATTTGCATTGACTTAGAGGGATTGTTTGAAAGAAGGGAACAGTTGCGTCTATTTTTTTTCTCTCAATTTTTCTTTTTATCTTTTTAGAAAAATAATGCCGCTTATTTTGATTTAGTATTGTTTTTGAGTTCTTTTGTACTTGTACCAACTAAGAAAACTAGATTGTATAGAAACTTCATAAAAAAGAAGAAGAAAGATTGGATAGAAACTTCGTAGTGTGGAAAGTAGCTAATCTTTCGAAACTCGAAAGCAAATAACCTGATTAATTATGCTAAATACATTACTCTTTGTTTAATGATGTTTTTGGTATTTTATATTAATATAAAGTTAAATTAAATGAATTGCAATTGGTATGCAAATCCTTAAAATGAGCTTACAACCTCCTCACCTAGTAGTTGCAAGTTTGCAAGAATAATCATTCATAATCACGATAATTCTAAACTAATAATTCAAACTTTTAAGCTAGTATGCAATCAAAATAATGAATTCAAATTAAAAACTAAAAGATTAAATTATTAAAATATTGATAAAACAAGATTGCAAGCTTTAACAATAACCTAAAAACCACAAACTTAAAATCCTTAACTAGATTTGGATAAAAATCATGATGTTATAATCTTTACAATACTCAATTTACAAAGAAAGAATTTACATTCATAAAGAAAGTGAATATTTACAAATTAACACTCTAAAGATAACAATCTTGTAGTGATTAAAGATTAAAATTGTTGCAAACACAAAACGAGAACAAAAAATCGGGAACCGACTCTATGAATTATCGACTTGCTTAGTTACTATCCACAAAATACCATTCACTTGTCTATAGTCTAGCAAGTTTCAAGTCTTTTGAAACTCGAAAAAAATGCTTCTTGAGCTGTTTGTAATATGCAAGTTGAGTTGTTTGTGTGTTGTATTATGTCCTACTATAATAAGTATTTATAGGCTTTTTGTTCATCCATGATCTTCCGTAGTGGATCACTTTCTTCGCATTCTACCATGTATCTTATACTATTTCATGCTCTTCTTCGATCTCTTTTTCTTGCATTGCAATGCACCATGTTCTTACAACTCGTTCTTGATGTGAACCTTATGTGTACACTAGGAATCCACACACCAATTTGATTAAGACAATCTAAGAAAATCCTAAAATCATATTATAAAGAAGAGGAACCCGACACAATGTTTAGAATAAACACGAAGCATGGTTATATCTCGAAGATAAGATGCCACTCCCAAGGATGGAAGATAAGTCATAGATTGAATGCCATAAGACTTGCTCTTGATAAGTACAATAGTTATTGAAAGAACCAAAGAAGAAAATTCCTCACTTTTATTAATATCCAAGCTGCAAAATTCATACATATCAAAGCCTTTTTATAGATTAAAAATAAAACAAACCCTAGCGAGTCTAAATCGAGCCTCAATTCCTAAAATATAGGAATCTCCTAAGATATTGGAGAATAACTTATTTTATCTCGCCAAAATTAAAAATATGCCTAAATAAGGCTTAAATAACAAATTCAAACTGATTCAATTAAAAGCATTTAAAAGCCCAATAATAAACCACTAATAGGCCTAGTTAATCCAACTTGTAGGTTAGATTAGATTGATAATGTTTGGAGCCTTTTTTTTCACATGCCAATTCCTTCATAAGTGCTAGACATGGCCTTAGTTGCACACTTGGCCTAACTTGTTTGCACAAGTTCATTAAGAGCCTTCTTTAGCTTCTTACCCTAAGACCATACCTCCTCCAACATATTGTGGATAAGCTTGCACCCTTGATATCATGCCACCATAGTCTTATTAGTCTTGGCTTCCATAAGTTTTGTTTATATTTCTTTTAATTGTTTGGATCATGTTTTTATTGATGTTAGATTCTCGTTACTCTTATTTTAATTGCTTGATTTTCTATTAAATATGACTATTTTCCTACATATCTTCTCATGATTTAGTCTTGTTAAGAGTTCATATCTCATATGTCTCTCTCTAGTCCTTGTGGTTACAAGTCTTTCTAATGTATTTCATTTAGATCAAGCTTTTGGGTTATGAGTAAGTGAAAGGACTTAAACTCGGATATGGATTTTTATAGAAATAAGGTAGAGAATGGGTTTAAGTGAAGCCAATCGAGAAGAAGGCTAAAAAAAACAAACCCATTGCACTCTTTACTCCTAATTTATTGAGCCAAAGACTAAATTAAATTTTGTTATAACATATGTCTTCCTTCTTTCCATGTGTAAAAGTCTTTCCCACTTATGAAAAAAAAATTTAGTGTGTGTTGATTTGTTCTTTCAATTCTCAACATATAACAAATACTTGAAATCTATCTATTGTATCCAATCCCTCTGTCTTCTATCCAATTATATTGTGGTGAAAGCGAAAATCGTTATTACTTTGCAACCTTAACTCTATCTATTGTTTCTGCTGTCAAGTCCGGTAGGTTTGGATGATTCGAAGGGTTTCTTAATTGTTGTTTGGCTCTTTTTTTTTTTTTTAAGGGTTGGTAGCTTCTCTTTGACTCGAAAATGATAATTATGATGTTTTTTTGTGGTTGTTTTGGGTGATAAGTGTTGAGCTTTGATGATGCTTTGAGGTTTTTTGGAAAGATCGTGGCTATGAAGGTTTGGAGTTTTTGGGAGAGAGTATTTCTTTCTCTAGGTTTCTTCATGAAAAAAAAATGAGTGGCCTCCTTTCACGTGAGAGAGAAATTAATGCTTATATAGTGTGGGTGGTTACGGTTTTCGAAGAAAGCCCTAACTTGCCTTTTTTCCTTTCATTTTTCAATTCCTCCTCTCATCTCTTCATTTTCTCTACAAACCTCATTTCAATTAGGCGCTTTTTTAATTGAACCCCTAAAATAAATTTTCCTTAGTTTCAATTTCTCTTGTATTTTTAATTGCATCCCAAGTCCTAAATTTCTATTTGTCTCTCCCTCTTTTCTATTCTTTTCTTTTTCTTTCTTTGTTTCTTTTCCTTTTCTTCTCTTTTTTTTCCTTCATTTTTTTTTTGTTTTTTTGTAAAGTTCTAAATTCTCAAACATCATGTGATTTCTAAAAAAATCCTAATCTAAGGGAAAAAAATCACACAATCAAGCAAATTAAACAAAACACATTTTATTTTTGCATTTTCAATTTTTTTTTTTGAAAAAAATATGGTAAAAAATAGGATGACAACAACTCTAAAGTTTTTTTTCTTAAACAAATTATTATAATAATTTAAAAATAATAAATAATATGTAAAAAAAAACCTAACATGTAATTATTAAAACAAATATATGGTAATGTACAATATCGATTCATTTACAAACCCATAATTAATGGGTCTAATCCTTCATAAAAGATAAGAAATATTAAATATTTGACTAATTCAAAGTGAAAAATAGAATTACTTTATAAAAAAATACTTGGAATTACTCCACATTTATTTTTATGATATAAATAATTAACTCGTTAGTTAGCATTACCGTTGTTTTTATTTTAATTTTGATAAATATATTTGTATTCTATTTTTTAAAAAAAAAATTGCATGTTAGATTCGTTTTGTATATATTTTACTATTTTTTTAAAAAATATTTTTCGAGTTTTACTCGTGATGAAATCTCATATATGATATATTTTGTGGCATTCAAGATGAGGTATTAAAAACACAATTATCTAAAAATAATAATAATTGGATCTCAACACTCTTTGAATTGTTTTGATTGAAGTTTCATATATTTTTTTAATTATTTTAATTGAATATTTATATTAGAATCTCAAGTGTAACACGTGTCATGCATTTAATAATAAATGTATCGTGTTAGTTCACAACAATAAGTGTTATAATGGACGAATGAAAACAAAATAATAATAATAAAAGAATAGAACTTAATCAATATGAAAAAAAAATGATGTCAATCTAAATAATTCGAATAGTAAAAATACCATATACAAAAGGAATTGGTGTTGTTATTTTCGTTAGAATAAAAATTCGGAATTGGTGACCCATGATCGCAATATATAAATAGCATGATGCTATGGAAGAAAACGGAATGGTGAATATCAAGGAATAAATTGCACAATTTTTTGAACTAGCAAGGTTGCGGACCATAAATGACACTCTTATTTTGCCTTTTTCTTACATGATTAAGTAAAAAAATCGATGGAAGTATTACACAAGCCATATCTTTTCAGACCATCATGGCGCAAATTTAAAGTCGGCACAATTGGTTCCTCTGGACAGAATTGACGAACTAAATCCTAATTTTACGGACTCTAAGTCAAATTGTAGCAAATTATCCTCCATCTGATAACCACCAATTACTATGGATGGATCACCAACAAATCTTGAAGGTGTTGGTTTAACCCCAGCACGCACAAAACCCAAGCACCACACATCAACACCTCCATTCTTAGTAATCCTGACCATGGAATTCGATCCTAAGATCTTCCAAACCACATCATTCCTATGCAATACAAGTTCAATGGTTGGCACTGTCGGTCCAGCACGCGTACTCTTTACATTACTAGCAGGGTAGCACACACTGAAGGGCTGAACAGGTTTTGTTGTAGTAAGATTGAAAGGAGAAGACGCTGCTGCCTTCACGAATGCCTCAGTAACAGCCTTGTAAATAGAAGTCTCTAACTGTGTGTACGGAACAACAGTACTGAGCTTTGTCCCACCCGAACCATTACCGCTATCAATGGGCAAGAGTGATTGATTCAAGGCTACCACCTTTCCATTAACTTTAATGGAAGTCACTCCTATGAAATATTCATCCGAGGGTTTTTTCAGATCAGGATAGGAGTATTTCCCAACAGGGTTCAAAAGGAGTGGTGTATAAACAAGTGATTTTGAGAGATCAATTCTACTCCCGAACTTATAAGGCCCTTTAGTACCAAAAAAGCCGCACCAGGCCGAGTTTTAGAGCCTGACAAACAAAGTGCAAAATAACGTGGATAATGATAGATCGCACTAGCCTGTACTGGGATCGAAATGTTCGAACGTCCGAGCCCTGCCGAGCCTGTGACACCTGTAGCTAGGCCTTGGAGATATTCTTTAGAACCACAAGAGAAGATAAATGTGAACGGGGAAGAGAGGGAAGGTCCTCCTGAGGAGCCTGTATTATCTAAATTGGGCATGGAGAAATAATCAACAATAGCAGGGGCATAAGGACCGTTTTGGGAGAAGCTGGGATCGAAGGGGTTCTCAGGCTTCAATACACAAACACTGTCGCCACAATTGGGATGGGAGTCCCTGCAGTTCATCATGCAAGCAAAGCAGCCGACTAATTCATCAAGCAAGGTGGTACATGGGATGTGTTTGTATGTGGATGAATTGTAGTCATCACAGTTAATCCAGATGTAACTAGCTCCAAGGTCCAAGAGTAATTTTCGTTCTTCTTGAGGGCTTTGTAGGTATGCTGTGATGATGTATTGGTGGGTTGAAGGATCTTTCTGGATGGGGCTGACAAGTGGTGGTCCGAAAGGATCAGCTTGAGAGGGGGTAAGAGCCAAGAAGAGAAAGAAGAGGAGCAGAGGAAATGCTAACTTTGGCATAGCCATTTGGGTTTGGTTGCTCTGATAGGTTAAGGATACTGGAAGAGGAGTATGAAGTGGTGTGAAAATGGGTGGGATGATATAACAACGAGGAGGGAAGCACGTGGTGTAGAGAGAGAGAGAGAGAGAGAGAGAGAGACGCATGTGATGAATCCAATCGGTTCAATTGATAAAAATTGACCCCTTTTATTATAATATGACAAATTCAATTTTTTATTGTCAATTTATATAATTAGAATTTCCAAATAAAATTTTTTGAATAAATATTATTTAAATCTCTTTTTCTTAGTTATTTATAATTTATTGTTAAACAGAATGCTTAATTAACGTCATTTAAATATTCGGTTATTAATTTTTTTTTGTTATTATTTAAAAAAAACATAGAAAACTGCACAGAAAAAAATAGATTTCAAGTTCCTTAGATCACTTGATTTTTTTTTTACTAATACTTCTCCTTTATTTGTCAAGGAAGATTTTTTTATTTCATCCATTTACATATAAATAAAATAAATCATTACATTTATCACTAAACTTTCTTTTGGCTCTCCCTAAAAAAGATTCTCACTTTTTGAATCTATCTTTATATAGCTAAAAGTGAAATAAAATTAAAAAAATTTAAAAAAATGTTTTTCTAACTAACAATTTTAAATACATCTTATAAATTCGAATGAATTGTGAGAATACAAAATCTCGTAAAACATGTGAAGGTAAAAAATTATTAAATGACAAAAGAAAAATTTTAGTTAAAATTAATTATTTAATAATTTTAATTGATCAAATTCAACCAACGGATATTTGTATTATATTAATTTTAGAAATTGATTGTTTTAATAGATAATGATACTACATAAAAATTATTTTTAAAAATTAAAAAAAAATATACAAATAATAATTTGACTAACTATGAAAAATCAAAGAAATTAATATATAAATTTTTTTATAGAAATAATTAAGTTATAATTACATGGAAAAGATAAGAACATGTACTTTTAAAAACAATTTACTGTGAAATGCTTAAGTTACCTCGTTTAAGCATTTTGTTTAACAATGAAATGAATTGATTATTACAAATAATAAAAAAATGAAGATAACATATGTTCAAAAATTAATATTTTAGAATTTAAATTACATAAATTGATAATAAATATTTAAAATTATTAAATTTTAATACGTTAGTGATAATTTTGTCCGTTAAACTGAATCTAATTTATAATAGAGGGACAAAAAAATATTATTTGATGAATAAAATGGGTATAGTTGTCTAGTGGATCCCGAAACTTCGTCCCACCAATAGAGTGATGTAGGAGAGAATATATGATTTCTTGACGCCGATTCATTATATTATAAAATAAAGAAAATAAAGAATGTATACTGCGTATTGCGTGGGTTCTACTTGTACGCGGCAATAAAAAAAGCAGGGGAAGCGTGCTTCCCTAATAAAATATTGATAATTACAATGGATGACCATTACTGTGTACTGAAATCAAGAAAAGAAAAGCCATACCTAGCATCAATAATTTGACCACTGAAGATATATATTAATTTATTTTCCCTCCTTGACTACTGAAGATGCATGTTAGTTCCATCAAGATAGATCTCGGACACCAGCTCCTGCATGTCAATTGCCCACTCATGCCCATTGTTTGCTTTTAATTTCCGTTGACCATAGGCATCTTACGTCCATGGTATCCTTTTTTCAGAGAAATGGATCCCCGCGTCATTTTGCCTAGTTTTCGTAGTTAAAATGAGACTCGTGCTGTGTGCGCATTTTTTTCAAATCAGCAGTGTGAAAGAAAGCATGTAAAGAAATAAAACAATTAGCAAATTGTTGGTCTAATAATAAACAAAAACTGATTTTTAAGTAAATTTTTGTTTATGAATGTATAGGATTTTAATTTTGAAATATCAATTATTTGAAAGAATTAATTTTTATTCTTTTAATTCTGAATATAATTAATTATATTTTTAATATGTGATGAGAATACTTAAAAAAAATAATAATAAGTAAAACAATAAATAGAACTTAAGCACAAAACTTAGAGTTGAAAATAAACTTATAGAAAGTAAATTGTGAAAGGTAAATTACTGGAAATAAATTCTAGGAAAACTTGAGACTGCATGTATTGAAATCGTGTATTAGATTAGGCTAAATAAAATACAATGAGTTAGCCTCCTCTACAAAACCTAAATAAGAAATCTTAAGTTGGAGAGTAAATAAAATCTTCTTAGTCCGAAAGGATAAAATTAATATTGTCAATATCGGATAGAAATAGCTACTTAAATCTCGACCGTACGAGTTGTTAGTTTTTCAAGGGATAATTCTTGCATATGTGTCCATAGTTTGAAATATTTAAATGTTCCTTTAGAATTTTTCAAGAGGTAGTAAAGGAGCATTTACTCCTTTGTTTTTTTCAAAATTTAGGCAGTGATTTCAAACTAAGCATCAAATTGATACCTTTGATGATTAAAACTCGTATTATCGAAAAAATTTTATGATACATAAGAAGTGACTAGTGACACGTATAGTAGTTATTCATTGGATTCACTTTGAGGAGAGAGATAGATATATAAAAAAATAAAAAAATTACATTCATACCCATTAAAAGTGATAAGAAGATTTCAATATCCGTTCAAATTTTTTAATCTTCTCTTTTTTGTTTCTCTCTCTCTCTTTTTATATGTTTTTCTCTCTTCTCAAAATGAATTCAGTAAGTAATTATCGTACATATCACTAGTTACTCATTATGAATTATAAAATTTCTCGTATTCTCGTGATTCTCGGGTATTTGATTTGAAAAATGAGAAAAACCGTTACACGCCCATTTGAATTCATTTTCTTCTTCTTCTTCAAGGTAACCAAAAATCCACTTTTCAGGCCCTAAAAATCAATTTCTTCAAAATCAATTTCAAGATGTCTTCTTGATCTGGTCCTAAAGAAATCCAGCCCAGATAAAGATTCAAAGCAATCATCCTTATTGAACCCGACGTATGCTTTGATATTTTTGAAGAGAAGAAAGGCCAAACCACTCTTGGTCCTTATCAGAAAGCTCTCTTGCTATCTTGCGAACTAATAATACTATTCACCAGAGCCACAAACCACCTGTTGATCTCATAGAAAACCTAGATGTAAATTTCTGGACAAAAATCGATGGATTGATTGGCTTATAATCTGCATATGATGTCAAATTATTCAAATGGACTAAAACAATATGCCAATTTATGGAAAACGAATGGTCTTTATGACAATCGTTCAAACAAATCGCAAGATGCGACCTTCATGTTTTAGGAAAAATCAAACAATGTCTTCAAAGTATCTTAACTTTTATTTTTCTATTTTAGTGCTTATACTTTTTTTTTCAATTAAGTGTCTCCTCTAGAATTTGTTAAATTGTTGATAATTTATCAAGGGTCGAGCATTATAAACCTTAACTTACCAAATCATCCAAATCAAGTCCGGTAACAATTTTTAAAAATTTCAGAGAATGAATTATTGTTAATTACTTGATTTTTTTTTCAAGTAATTCAAGTTACCTGAATTATATTTTTTTATTACTTTATAAAATTGTAAAAGTAATGGGCTTGTGCTTTTCTTTGAACCTAATTTTGGCCAGTAAAAACTTTCCTTGGCCTATTTTGACTACTTAATTATATATATATTTTTAGTATTTTAAGTAAAAAAAATTAATGGGGTATAAAATTTAGGTAATATAGGCACCTTAATTATTTGATTGGGTAAAATAAAAATTCAAGTAAAACAAAGGCTAAAGGAAAAACATTTTCAAGTAATTTGGGTAATTGCCCGAAATGACAATTTTTCACTCGCATGCTTGAATGATCATTCTTGGATGTGCTCATTAAATAAATCAATTGTTCATGAATTAGATAAAAGGAAAAAAACAAAATCAAAATTTTAAAATAAAAATTAAAGAATAAAATCAAAATCGTGGTTTAGGAGGAAAATTATCCGCCCTTTCTTTCTTCTTTGAATAGCTTATATAATGTGCTAGATCAATAGAAAAATATAGCGTATTTACTTCAATTATTCTTCCTTTTTAAATCTTCAACTAGCACCGATGCCTAAAAGTAATTTGGTTTGTTTAAAAAGGATTCCTAGGTATACTGTGATGATATATTGAAGGGTTGGTTGATCCTTCTGATAGGATAGACATGGAGAGAGGTTAAAAGCCAGAAAGAATAGCAGTAGAAGAGGGAATGCAGCTAGCTTTTCCATTTCCATTGCCATTTGCTTAGCAGCTAGTTTTATCAAGAAACAGAAAATGGCTCGTTTATTTTATGGAGATGGGGTTATCTAACACTTGCTTAAGACCATGAGAGTTCCGATCTACGAAGATCTTCTCTCTTTGGACCAAATAGTGATCTCTGGTTGTGGGACCCGTAATTTATTAGATTAAAACTGGATTTAAATTGTCTAAAAAAGTAATTGAATGCAAATCCGCCAATAGATTTTCGTAGGGGTGGATAACGCGTGGACTTCACTAAGTCACTGGAAAATGAAGAAGTGATTCTCATAAAATGATCCCCGAGAATTCAGTTTTATGTTTGCTTGATAATATTGGAATCCTTGGAAAATATCATTTTTATTATTTTGCTGTTTCCTTGAGAATTCTAAAAATATTTGAAGTAAATTGCTATCTTATCTTTTACTATGGTTATATAATAAAATTTTATTAATACTTAACTAATTGTACGAATAAAAAGTTTTTTTTTTAAATGTACTAGTAAAAGGGACCTCTAAAAATATTATTGTAAAAATTAATATAATGATACAATACAATAAAATAGTAATTTAATACCATAAAAAAAATTGATCCACTATAAAAGATAATAATTTTTTAACAATTTTTTTTCCTTTCAAATTTATTTGTCAATAATATTAATAGTTTATATATCCACCACTAACTTATATATATATACACACACAAACAAAAATGAATGAATGAATATTTTTGAACTAGCATATATATTAAAAGATATATTTGACATAT